GGGGAGGGGGCGCACAAAAAACAGACTCTACCTCTGTCAACAACAGCTGTTATAATGGGTGGACTGTTTTTTAATTGGCAGGATCCACCCACTTGCTAGGAGCCTCACTCGTTCACCCACTTTCGAGGAGGAAGGTTTGAGTGCTTAAACAGCAGACAGAGCAAAACACAAGAAAGGAAAGGAAGGATGTGTGGATAGCATTTGTTAAAAAAAAAAAAAAAAAAAAAAAAAAAAAACGTTCATCCACTTTCTAGGAGGAAGGTTTGAGTGCTTAAACAGCAGACAGAGGAAAACACAAGAAAGGAAAGGAAGGATGTGTGGATCCGGTCCGAAATTCAAATCAAATAGATCACAACCCTTTCTCAAGGAATCTCACGGCCATTGCCAGCCAGCCAAGGACGGATATAGAATACAGATTGGACCAGGTTCAGAATCCTGTACCTGTCGTTGAGACCACCGGTCTTTCTTGCAACTGGAACAGAACCGTATCGCATCGCAATGAGCTGTCATTGCCCAGAGCGTCAGACACCACGGAAGAACAAAACAAACACGAGAGAGAAGTCAGTGTCCTTGAGATCGGAAGGCAGCACGGGCAAACTGTAAATGGCTCCTTGTTCAAATCACTTTTTTTTTTTTTTTTTTCTTTACTTTTTCTTTACCAATGTTACCTTACTTATTTGGTGGTCTCCTTGCTAGTCGGGAAAAGAAAACGAGATCCCAAGGAGGAGGGAGTATGTCGAGCACAAGCTACGACAAATCAGCAGCAATCAGTATCAAGACAGAAAGTCGACATAGCAAACAAAACATAGACCAGGTATGAGGAGGAAGGAAGATAGGGAAATGACAAAGAAGAAATCAAAAGCCAATGGAGGAGGAGAGTAAAAAAACAGTAGAGAGACGACCCATGTCCCGAACACGACTATGAATTAAAATGTAACTTGAAGTGCGACATGGCGTATGACCCTACCAGTTTCACCTGGCAACCAACCAGGAGCATCAGGGGCCTCATAATCGGTGACATGGACTACTCTACTGTTGACTATATACTAAAGAAGAACGAGAGTCAAGTCCACAGAAGCACCGCAATTGCTAAGTCTACCAAAAAGCCACCGTCCATCATCACGTCGCGCTCGCTCATCGAAAAAAACCGACACCAGCCTGGAACTACAGAGAGGGAAATGTATCTACCCTGTATTCGTAACAGGTACACAAGAAGGCCCTAGAGAACGAATCGTATCATATAAGCCAGTACCAAGAAATAAGACTAACGTACCGAGTACAAAACCACAGTCACATCACACCAGTTGACCGACAACAGTTCGAAACACGACTATCACAGACTAGTTCAAGGTCCACTACAAAGTTCACCCTTTATTTAGCACAGCCGACCACGGTTCGAAACTCAACCGACCCATATCAATCACAAGGTTCAACACTTAATGACCCAACCGTCCACAGCTCGAAACTCGACTGAACACATACCACAGAACATCATAACCCCCTACTACACTTACTTTGTTTTTTTTTGGTTTCTTTTTTTTCGGCCTCATAGCATGTTAACTGTTTGAGCAAAAATTCTGAAGTTTTGTCCTGGGAATGATCTATTGATGCACAGACAAATCTCTGCATCGCTCTTCGGCTGTGAAAGAGGTCCGAACGTACCTGTTAATCAGCAGATCATGTGTGCAAACTTCAAATCCTGATGGTGATGACCATGCTCATGTGACTTTTATTCTAAGCAGCTAAGATAAATTTATGAAAAACACCACAGGAGGAAGGGTTAAAAAAACATGCTCATGCAGAAAGAGGACCCCGTCCGTTGGGAAATCCATTAAAATTGGAACAATAGAGACTCTTTACAGAGAGAGAAGATTAGCATGGCCCCTGCGCTTTCAAGGATGCCAGACATAAATCGAGAAATGGTCCGACAACTTGGCAAAAAGAAAAAAGAAGACAACAAAAAGGATGAGAGGACCATGAAGGAACGGTCCTGAAGTAGGTTTGGGGGTTCAGGGGCTATGGGTAGAGGCCAGACGACAGGTTAACCTTCGCACAAGCACGGAAGGAGGAGCGGAAACAGGCGAACTGAGGCAGGGGACTCTGCAGACTGTATGGAGGAAGGTTCAGCCTGTTAGGACCTGCCAAACACGGACTGAGACACACAGCTGACTTCTGAGTTTTGCCCATGGAATGTATGCTTTGCTGAGTTTCCCGCTTGTTGCTGAGTTTTCTAAGTTTTTGTGTGTGTGCGCTTGCTGGTCTGCATGCCTGCCTGAGTGCTTGTCGGCTTGAGTGTGTGTGTGACCCGCAAGGGCGCTTGGTTGATCGGAAGGCCCGAAGGGCTGCTACTTACCTGTGGCCGTGGCATTGAGGGTTGCAGCGGGGAAAACGCTCAAGTGGCGGGGAAAGAGGCCGGCGACACGTAGAGCGGCCGAAAAACACTCGAGTAGAAGGTAGGCCAGCACCACACCAAGTAGAGGTAGATGTGCCGGGTACTCGAGGCCGAGCAGAAGAAAACAAAAGTTGGCATTTTTAGAGGCCCAGTAGTTGTAGGCAACGTCTAGAGGCTGCTACCAACCCAACCAGTCTGAGTCTAGGGCCTGCAAGGGCAATATCAGAGTCTGCAATGAGGTTTCCCTCCGAAAGGGAGGAGGTACCGGTTGCTTGGGGGCCACGCGGCCTAGGAAGTCACCGCTCAAGAGGCAAGCAGGCCGCTATATCTCCAGTAGGAGCGAAGTGCTCCTCCTCATTCTTCGGCGTGCAAGCTTGGAGACACACTGCTTGGAGCAACGGTGCATGGAGCAACGCTGCTGGGGAGAACAGAGCGCCCAGCTCTTCACCGTGGCCTTGGTGGAGGAGCATGGCCTGGAGGAGGAGGGAGACGAGGACCAGGAAGAGGGAGAGCGCCAGAGGTACTTACCTGGCTATGGAGGATGCCATATTCATCACCTTGGTGGACGCTGCATCCCGAAGGCCCCGCTGAGGTAGAGCTGCACCAAGAAGCTTCAAGGCAGAGTCAGATATGGCGGCCTGAGCAGGAACAGCCATAGCTGCTTTGTGTTGTCCTTTGGACAGCAGGTCAAGCCCCTGGTAGTCCACCATAGCCTCGGCCTTTGAGGAGGAAGGAAGAAGGGTGGTCATGGCTATGGTGGACCTCATGTGATACCTGCAGTAGAAAAGGGACTCGAACATTGATTCTTGTTCAGCCATTCAACATTATTATTATTATTGATTGTTTGAATAAGAGGGGAGGAGAAAAGGAGGAGGAGAGTGGTTGGCGAAGAAGAAGGGAGGAGAGTGGTTGGCAAAGAAAAAGGGAATTATCATTGGTCTTCGCTGGTGTACATTTTTCTTCTTCTTCTTCTTCTTCTTCTTCTTCTTCCGTCTCTCCTCTCAAGTTGATTCATTTCTTTCCGTAATTGCACGACATTGTACTTTCTCGTGAATGTGTACTTCGAAATTGGCCAGGATCATAACACAGCCCCCCTTATGAGTCAGTGAAACTCGGATGAAACAGTTTGTCACAGCCCCTCGTATGTTGCCCTCTTCTCCCTCTCTGCCTTCGGTTTACCGAGCACTGCTGTTTGACCATATATAAGTACTAGCTTAGCGCCCGCGGTGCGGGCGGTGTGGGCAATGCCCGCACGTAAAAGAGCAGAGAGGCTAGTCAATCATGAACATTGTGTCAAGATCTTGATTCACCACCCACCAAACCCGCACCGGGCCACTAAGAAGTGCGCATGAATATATTGATTTTCATATATAC